GGGGGGACGCACAACTTGTATATGGTGTCATTGATTTGAATTTGTCCTTTTTTCTTTGTGTGTGTGTTCATTTCTGTAAATGTTTGATGATTACTATTTATTGTAAGAGACAAATGTGTATAACTTAAAAACTACAGCTTTGAAGGCTTCTTTGTTTCACTAAAGTAAATACAGTAAGTCTGTTTTTTTTCTTGCTTTCCTTTTGATAATTGTTAACAAAGACTGTCACGCTCGTCTCAGTTGCAGGTAGCTGCAAGGTAACGAACACAGTGTACATTACATATGCAGTGTCTTCCAGTGTTTCTACAAATGGGACTTCTCTATTAAAAGATCTGTCTTTATATGGAAACTCTGGGTCAAGTGCTGTTCATTTGCCATTAGGCTGATATTAAACAATACAACAAATTACTGCCAAATGACCCCCTGGACTATCACAAAAAACATTTCCAAGGTAAAAAGATAACATTACCCACCAAAGTCAATTTTAACAGGGTCACAAGAATATCATGAAAATATTTAAAAACAATGTACAGCATGGTCATTCTACCTCAGCCTAATGGTTTTCTGTTCTCATAAACGCTTTACAGAATGAAAAATAGTTAACTTCTGTTGTTCACTTAACAACCTTGCCTCTTCAGTTTCTTTTGAATTTTTCATTTACTGTATATAAAATGTGGTCTCATCATTCAGATTTGGCCTCTATTAATATTAAATACACAGAAGAACAGAATTCGTAGCAACACCGCCTGTATGATTAATGTACCATAGAGTTGGTATGACAGATCCTTCACACGATCTGGGAAACTTAACACCCATCTCTCGCCACTGGCTGGGGAAAAGGCTAGAGCCAGTGGAATGTTGGCATCCTCAAAGAGGTAGAGGGCAGGAAAAAAGGCTGGGGACAAAAAAGAAAGAGATGTGAAGCCTAAAAGTTGTGGTTAAAATCCCAGTCCTCAGAATTCCCAGAAGAACCGGACTTCTGTCCTACTAGGCACTAAATTGTATTGACTCATTTTATTCTTAAAATACTCCAGTTCTTCTCACCCTTATCCAAAAATCAATCATACACTGTAAAGGTTAGCATTGTGACAGAGAGAACAGGAGTCTTTCACACAGTAGGTCATCATTGTGACTAGGTCAGCTCATACAAATGTCTTCCATTTGTAAAGTCTAGCTGGCCAGCTGCAAACCATCTGTCAGCACATATCACATACACATTAGTATATACAGTACAGGACAAAAAATTATACTAATACTGGAACATAAAATTGTAAATAAAAAATGATAGGAATATATGAAGTTGCAGCAACTGGTACTATAGGAACAATACTGTTGTAGAGTAACATTTGACACAATGGCCAAAGTAAAAACAGAGGTCATTTGACACAGTAGGACTTTTTTACCATGCATAGTTTATATAAAAGAAACTGTACAAATAGGAAAAGAAATTCCTAAGTGCAAGTAAGACAGCTCCAACAACTCCACCCTTGTACAACTGAATACTTTCTGAAGCTGCTGTATATTTACCAGCTACAGAGAGTAATATCATTATAGGTACAATAGGTATTGATAAAAAAAAATCAGCACATTAAGTAGCTTTAAGCAGCGATAAACAGGCTGTTGTGTTTATATTCCTCAACTAATGTCAGTCCAGTCTCGTTTTCCCAGGATGCCAAATACAGATGTTTTGTCAGGTACTTTTGGCTTCTGTACAGTATGTACTGTAATGCATAGGGTTACCTTCTGCATAGTTGAAGCAGATCCCTGACCTCTGGAGACTTCAGAGCTTAGTACCAGTGAATGCAGAGCTTCAACATCCTGCTTAAAGATAGTTCAACACAGGTATCCTGCAGATCAGATTTTGTACACTGCTCAAAAAAATAAAGGGAACACAAAGATAAGACATTCAACTATGTTGCGTTCCCTTTATTTTTTTGAGCAGTATATATTTGTACTCAGTCATCACCTGCTTGTACTGATTTGAAGGTGCAAGCTTCTCCCACTGACTCCACAGCTATCATCATTCCTTGACTTTTTGACTTTGTCAAAAGCATAGCTTTGCTACCAAGTATGCCACTATGGAAGAAATTAAACTACAACAACACTACCCCAGGGAGAAATCTAGTTTGGTTCAGCAAAGCTACTTAGAAAAAATAATTTAAACCACTTTGTTAAAAAAAGATCAAACTGCAAACTGACACGTGATACAAAATTAGAACAAAATATAACACAAAAAAGTCACATGCCAGTAAAAAAAAAAAACAGCAACAACAAAAAGCTGCTCAGCTACCCATGTTGGCTTTTCAAAAGGACAAAATAGCAAGTGATGTTATAATTTGCTGTAAACAATTCTGTATTTTGTATTATCTGACTCCAACTAAAACAGTAAAGCAAAAAATGTTTAGCTTGCTAAAAACTGACCTGTTGTCTTATTTGTCAGTTTTATAACATCTGACTTGTACCATCTGCCTGGGTGGGTGTATACATGCTACCATCCATTGCACCATCTGAAAAAAAAACAGTAAGGGCAAAGAGTAACAGAGAATGAAAGAGGTGGAGAGACAAAAACCTAAAGGTTAGGAGTGAGAAGTTAGCTTGGGACAAAGGATGAAAAGAGCACATCCAGTCCAGATAGAGAAGTGACAGCTCAGGGTATCTGTAGTGCAAGCAAAGCATTTGATGCTTGTTGTGTGAAGGAGACAGAGTGTGTGTGCAGACCAAGACCTATAATCCTATATATCTTGTAGCTCTAAGCCAGTATAAGCATATGGTCACACACACACACCATGCTTGTTATGCTAATACTTGAGGCGTCATGATACCTATGTTCAGCTGATCACTAGCAACAGCCCTGCAAGAATCCACCCCCTCCCTCCTGCAAGTTCCTGCAACTTGATTCAGTACTACCTTCTGAATGTGGTAGTAGTAGCTTCAAGAACGTGTCCCCAAAATGGGCAGGGTGCAGTGGAAACCAAAGCAGAACCTGGGACAATGGGTACAAGTTCCGTTACAGGTTGGAGGAAGAAGGAAGATTTTGCATGAATGCCCAACACAAGAGCTGAGAGCTTAATTGTATTAATATGTTGACATAGTCTCTTACTCTTTCACAGTACTTCCTGTGGTACCTATGCTTACTTCCTGTGGTCATTCTTCACCTGAGTTTGTCACTAAACCAGGGAGTGGGACTTCTGCTCCTCTGGTTTGCTGGACAGGTAAATCCATTTTTTTGTGTTACATTTAAATATGACCTCAGATATGCACCATGTTTACAAAATCGTTATAAAATCTGCTGGTTGGAAAATGATGTTTGAATGTTCAGTCCAGAAAATGAGATCTATAAATATGCAGTGTACAGTTATGACCAGTAGGTCGAAGCATTTGCCAGCAGAAGAATCAGCTTGAGCATCTATCCTTAGGTAACCTTCACATTAATCTGCCAACTGGAGCATGAACATAACCCACAACAAATAGTGTTGGCAGTGGCTCCATAATCTCACCGTATTCTTCGCCTAATTTCACATGGAAATTATTGGATCATTCACTTTAGTCCTTTTAGTTCTGAGCATGTTTACAGCCCCATCAAATTGGTCATAATAATGATGGTATGCAGTGTGTGTGTGTGAGTGAGGGAGAGAAAATGAAAGCATGTGCAAGAAAACATGAGATATAGTGTATTTAGTTTTGATATAGTGGCTTTTCTAACATGTTACTGAAACACTTTGGGAATCTGTATGATTCAAACTTGCGTGTTGTGTAT